TCCAGCGCACCGGGGTGGAGGGGTTTGGCTGCAGAGGGCAAGGCTGGGGCTGCGGGTTCAAGGGTTGCCTCTTGATCTGGATCTGATCCGGAGCTTTGGGCAGCCCGGGCTTGTTCCAAAGTGGAGGAGGGTCCTTGGGGAGCATGACGGAGGCTTTAGCAGGCAGGGTTTGGGGCTCCTCTGCCTCCTCCGCCTTCTTCTCTTCCTCCTTGGGGATTCTCACTTCGATGACCTCGTTCTCGGTGATGATGATGTGGGTGCCCGGGCTCCAGGAGTTCCGGTGGGTCGGGTTGCTTTTGAAAGGAAAACGGGGCTTGCGGTTCTCCGGTGGGATGAAGCGGTGCGGCGTGTTCTGCCGGCGGAGCTGCTTGGTGATCTCCTGCTGCTGCAGGTTCTTGAAGCGGGTTTGTTCCTGCCTCATCCAGCGCATTCGCCCACGCCTGAAGGCAGGGTCTTCCTCCATTAACTGGGAAACCCGGACTTCTTTCTCGGAGCCACTCTTCCTGTCCTCGTTTACGTTTCCTTCTGCACTGACTCCCAGGCCGGGGGGCTCTTTCGGCTTCGTGGCGGCTGTGGCGGCTGGCCCTTTCAGCTCTTGGGACCTCATGAGCGGCAGCACCTTCTCCATTTTGAGCATCTTGTTCCTGAGGACCTTGATCTCCTCGTCCTTCAAGTTGTTTTGCTTTTTCACCTCGTGGAGGATGTCTTCCAGCTTGTCAATGTGGACCTTCAGATCGTCCACGTCAGCGATGCCTTTCCCGCTTAGCAGCAGGTCCTCGATCTTCTCGTCGCCCACCCCCACCGTGTCCCAAACGTCTCGGGCCACAGCTCGCCACGAGTCGCGCTCATTGGGATCCTTCTTCCCATACAGGGTGCAGAGTTCTTTCATCTTGACGATGGCCAGGGCCTCGATCTCCTGCCGGGTGTGCCGGAAGTCGTTGAGGGCGACCTCGTAGCAGATCTCCTTCACGGCCTGGATCTTGAGATCGGAAACGGTCACCCACCGGGAGTCCTTGCTGAGGCGTCGGCGCTGAGGGATCTGATACATTTTGATGGGCTCGCGCTTCTTGCCGCTGCTGGGGAGGCCACATTTTTTAACAATGGTTTGCAACTTGCTGGGGGGCAGTTTCTCTCTCAGGGAAGTAATCAGCCGCCAGCTCTCCTCGCAAGACCGCTTGTCCGAGTCATCTCCACTATCAGAGTCTGCATCCTTTGGGGAAAAAAAACAATCGAGAGGTGGCCCCAAAATAAACAAAATTAAAATTTGGAGAAAAGAAGGAAAATTCTGAACAAGAAAAAAAAAGAAGAAAAAAAGAAAAAGAAAAGACAACTCAAAATTAGGGAGAAATGATTCGGGGAAGGGGAGAAAAGGCAAAGCAACAAAGGAAGGGAGTGAACATCTAACTGGAGTCTTAAACTATCCCTAACGGTCTTCTGTCGATTTCTTTAATTCCAGACATATCTAAATTTTGTGGGATTTTCATTCTCCTCCAAGAATATGCCAAGACATTTTCCAAAATCCAATCCGTATGAAACTCTTAGAAGAGCCAAAACGAAGTACCTGTAGAGAGGTGGACGTAAGACACTTCGTGCTATCGATGTGGAAAACCCGCCAAACTTTTGGAGGGGGGGTTCTCGTTACAGAGGCCAAGTTATTTCATTAGAAGGGGACGGAAAAAAAGAGATTCTTCTTTGCACCAGGAGTGGTACCCGACAGTCACCGCAGAATGATCGGACGGACAGCCAAGGTTAGGTGGAGTTAGCACTGGGTTAGTAAGTGCTGTGCACGTGGATTCAGATTGACAGTCCAGTTGACTAGGAAAGCATCCAGAAAAGGGTTAGAGAATCAGAGAGAAACCAAGTTCAGAAGCAGCCACTAGCATCAAGGTTAGAAAGTGTCATAACAAGTGGTTAAAATGTTGGACAGAGTAAACCTAAGTTGAAATCCACCCTCAGACCCCCTCTCAACCCCCTCTATTTCACAGAGGTAAAGAATGCTATACATGCCACCTGGAGAAAAAGTGGGTTATAAATCTGACAAAGAAAACAATACAAACACCATCGCAAAAATCTTTATTTTAATTTTTTGGCCAGCCAAGAATAAAATAAATACGGCTGCCCATGTTCTTTCCATTTGCCAGTGATTCTCGGTTTAAAGGCAGAAATGCCTTTTGGTTATTACAGATCATTCTAAAAATGCCCAATATTTTTTGGGGTGGGGTGGGGGTGGGGGGGATAATCTCATTAAGGTTTTCTACCGCTCCACATCTCACTCTCATGCATATGAACCAACCCATAAGTTATGCCTGCCTGTTGCAAACTTCATGCTTTTTTTTAAGCCACATAAAATGCTTCTATATTAATGAAATTGGTGAAGAGGTTAAAAAAATACCCATTCCAAACAAGTTTTGAATAAATTTCCCCCAGAGATTACTCTATCATGCACCTGAGATTTAATCGGAAGTGTACTTATACGGGCTCGGAGTCTATAACATTGACCTAATTACTTAAGAAGTTATATATCCCCGCCAACTATTCCCTAAACCATACTGCACAGCATTCCCAAAATGCCAGAAACTAGTGCCTGGGAGGCCCTAAATACTGCTGAAAGAACAGTGATGTAGGAAAACTCTCCACTGCCATGAATTTTATTCCATTCATGGAAAGAAAGTTTGGAACAAAACTCTCTCCTTGAAGTATTTTGGCACTACTGCATGTGTATGGTATTTTTTTTTTTAAGGTTACGTTAAAAATAAATAGCTACAGAACACATTTTTGTTAAAAGGACGGTCTTTGATAGGATCCATGTTTCTAAACTATGCAAACAGAATAATTAGAGGCTTTTCAAAGTGGGGAGTGGGAAGGTCTAGGGAAGAACCACTTTCTAATGATAACCAGAGACTAGAGGTAGTGCTTATAACCACTCATTTAGTGACTATTCAAAGTTACAACGGCACCAAAACAAAAAAGCGACTGATGACCATTTTTCACACTTATGCCCATTGTGGCATCCCCCTGGTCAAAATTCAGATGCTTGGCAACTGACTTGTATTTATGACAGTTGCGGTGTGTTGGGATCAGTGGTGGTATTCGACCGGTTCTGGCTGGTTCTGGAGAGCCGGTAGCGGCGATGAACAGTGGAGACCGAACCGGTTCTCTTTGCTGCTCTGTGGTTGGCCCACCCGCCCGACCAGGCTCTCATACTCACTTTTATGGCCAGAATTTGAGCGCAGCTGCTTTGCACAGTGCCGAATAGCGCCGTGCGGCAGCTGCTGCAGCGACCAGCATCATGCAGGCTTGCAGGAGGCAAGTTAGAACGCCTCTGCGCAACGTGCGTGTTTGGCGCGCGCGTGCACGCAAAGTGTGCATGCGCGCAAAGCATGGCCACCAAACCACGCCCACCGAACCGGTAGCAACTTTATTTGAATACCACCACTGGTTGGGATCATGTAATCCTTTTGCAACCTTCTGACAAGCCAAGTCCATGGAGAAGCTGGATAGCAATAGCACTTAAGACTGATATGCTGCTTCACAGGGTTTTCCAGCCCTCGCTAAGAGGTTTACAGAGTCAGCCTCTTGCCCCCAAACAATCGGGGTCCTCACTGGACAGATCTTAGAAGGACAGAAGGCTGAGTCAACTTTGAGACGGCCGGGTTCGACCTGTTGGCAGTGGGCAGTCAGCCTGCAATACTGCATTCTAACCACTGCACCTCTTAAGAGTCACTTAACAAGCCTGTTGCTAACTTAACAACTGCACTGTTTCACTTAACAACTGGGGCTAGGAACGCCTTGTAAACTGGGGGCAAAACTCTCTTAACAGCTGTCTGGCTGGGAAAAGGAAATTTTCAGCTGCGACAGCCTCCTGCAACCCCTCTGCCAGCCAAAATGGAGCTCCATTTTCTCTGGCAGAGGCATCGCGGGGCCAGGCCTTATCTATTTTCAGGGCGTCCCTACGGGGGCCATATCTAAGTCCGCCACAGGACGGATATGGTCCCCGGGTGTTGAGTTTGACACCCCTGGCCTAGGAAGTTGGAAGGTCAAGGTTTCCTTTCCTCACCTTGTTGGTGGGAGGCGAGGAATTTTGTGTGTGAAGTCCAGCTCTGTGAAGGCTCGATCTGGCAGCCCCCCCACCCCAATTCTCCCTCCTTCTTCATGCACGATCCTTTCTCTTGCTAAGGATTCAGACTCCATGCAAGGCAGGGCAGGGCAAAGACAGAGAGTTGAAAGGCATGCATCGCCCACAGCCGTCATTCTGGAGATCCCGGAGGGGGGACCAAACCTGGCAGGCAAACGGTTCTGGGGCGCCTCTCCTCGGAGACGCCCAGCTAGTACTGGTAAGACCCATCTCCAACCCTCATTTGGAGGAGGTGGCAAAGTAATTTCAGAGAGGTCTGGAATTGGGTGTGAGGTGCGGAGAAACAAC